CTTCATGGAGTCACAAACGGGAATAAAGATTACAGAAATTGAACGTTTTTCGTAATCTTTGATCGGCCCATTCTCGAATTCCTTTCTTCGTTCCTTCCCTCATTCCGTTTGTTCCTCGCCGAACCCGTAATTCCCCGGTCCATTCCAGATTATAATCTTTGCAATCGGTGAAACTGTAATCTTTATTCCCGTTTGTGACACTGTGAAGGCCTAAAATACGGGAACCAATCAGAAATGGATTCAAATTGTCTTGACTCTCAGTATAAAGGGACCCTAGTTTATACCAATGGCGTGGCGTGCTTTGCGATATAACGATTGTTATGCCATTGAAACCTATGAAAAAGGATCGATAAACAGGGCGTTCGCAGCGAACACCTTATTAATCGATTCTTTACCATAGCTTCAAATGGGGGAAATATCGGTATATATCGAATCACGCCACGCCACTGGTTTATACATCGATCCGTGTGCATTTATGTCTAGGGACTCGCGCGGGTACTGCTGTGCTAGGGAAAAAGGCCCTATGAATATCCAAACGTTGTCAAAGTTTACTTCCAAAAAGTATATTTTTTTAAAAGATAGTCATGAATAATTGTCTTGAAAATTTCGGATGATTTAGACGAAATTGCAAATAGAATTCTCTGAGGGATAGAGCGAGGAATATTCACAAGTTTCTCGAAAAATTCGTATTATATCGAAGGACATTTGGCAACGTTCGAATGTTCGTGCGATGTTTTCCCTTATTAGCACGGCCGAATGCGTGAGAAGGGAGTAGTCGAGACGGTTTGAAATTCTCTCGGTAGGAATTGTTGGAGGGAGGGAGGAGGGGGGCTTGCCGTTTGCTTACGAGAAGGAAAAAGCTTCGGTTACACCGACTGAACGCAATAAAAGCCTAAGTTCTTCATGAGAGGGACCGATGTTTTAGGTCATGTAGATGAACGCAATGCAGTTCAGGTAGCTGAAAACTTTGGTAAAACGTGGGAGACTTAGTATCGGTGACAAACACTTCGTATCTCTCGACTGGAAGCTCGGTTACTTTAAAAAACTATCGTACTGTGTATGAACCGTAGTTTTTTCTCCACGTGCGGTCGGCCGTTTGGAAGGAGAACAATGATAATTGCATTTGAGAGATTATCCTTTCGAGAATGACAATGCTGGAATGATGAATACACATACGAATGAGATTAAGTTCTTAATCGGGTTTTTAATTTCACGTTGGAACCAATTATCTTCGCCCAAACTTCACCTACATGCTGTTGAGGAGAGTCAATCATTTCCGGCAACTTTATCGCGATTATATTGCTGTCGCCTGTCGCCCACAATTAGTACTGTTTTTTTCATTTCCGCCCACTTCTATTTGACCTATTTGAAATTTTCGGTTATATTTGGCCACTGAGAGTGAACTCCTTTCAAATGGACGTATTTATGCTAAAAGGAACTATGTTGCACGCAAATCCTATGCACTTATTTCTATGTCAGTTAACGTATGCTCGGAGACTTTAACGCTCGGTAGAAAAGTAGGCTACTGGAAATCGGAGGATATCATCGCTCATCTGAAATCAGGATGGTCCTCACTGACTCAATAGGAGTTGGAACGATGACAAATGATGTTGGTCAACGAATGCTAGGAGACTTTGACTCCCAGTAGAAACAAGAGGAAATTATCAGTCATCACGATAATTCAGGCAGCATATTCTCTCTCAAACAGATTTTCCACAAAAGTAGGATTAGCCGAAGACAAGCCTGGACCAAAATGAAGCTTTCGCTGCTCGTCAGATCGGGTTTGCGTACATCAGTCTTTAAGAGCCCCGCACAAAGCCTAATTAGACTACATTTTGCGATTTGGAACTACAATTTCTGGCTCAGTTTAGAAAAAACGCATGTACCATTAGTTTCCCAGACCACATAAGTGTTTTTACGGATGAGCCAGAAATAGTAGTTCTTAATTGAAAAATGAAGTCCAAATATGATAAAGCAATCAGAGAGCAGTACTTACTGACATAGCAATTTTCTCCCAGAGGACTGATTATTGAAATTGATAGACAAAGCGATAGATGAAGAGGACATGGGAAATATGGAGCGATCCTATTCGTTGAAATTGATGGTTCTTATAAACTGTGTGGGACTAACTGTAGGGTCTCTCCTGAGTTGTAGTTGCCTAATCTAGTTATTACCCTCTTTGTCCATTTCAACGACCGGCTTCCACCGACAGGATCTCTCCATGCCCCTTTTTCTTCTTTGTCTACAGCTCTGCCCATGAATTCCGACAATCGGCTCGCTGTGCAAGTACTTTATACTTAGCCCATCTAATTAGTGTTAGTTAGTTATGACGGGATGTGACTTACCGGCAGCATCCGAGGTGGTGGCCTTGACGACTCCGACGATGGTGCTCCTGGGGGCGTCTTCGGCGACGTTGAAGTTGTAGCGGGAGCGCTCGAAGATGGGGAGGACCTGGTGGGAGCCGAGGACGTTGACGAAGACCCGGGCGTTCTCGGCGGAGCCGAGGCCGCCCCCGTCGGTGGCGGAGATGTTGAGCCGGTGGAGGGTGCCGTGGGGGGCCGGGGCCGTGAGGTAGATCTCCCCGGAGGCGGCGTCGATGCGGAAGAGGCCGCCCTCGTTCCCGGCCACGATCCGGTAGCTGATGTTCCCGGCCGGGCCGGAGTCCTTGTCCGTCGCCACCACCACCGCGATGGCCGCCCCCGACGGCGACAGCAGCGCGTTCTCGCGGATCGAGACGTTGTAGTCGCGCGGGTGGAAGATCGGCGCGTTGTCGTTGATGTCCGTCAGCTGGATTTTCACCACCGCCGTCGTGCTCAGGCCACCTGAAACAGATACAGACAATATTAGTACATGTATGTATGTATGAGCCGCTTTTACGGCGCGCTAGGGCGCTCTGCGACGCCTATTCTCCACAGGAATCTGTCATGGTAGAGATCCTCCGGAAGCTGGCATCTCTCCATCTCTTCATGGATGCCCTCTACCCACCGTTTGGCTGGACGCTCTCTCCGTCGCCTACCTGGGGGGACCCACACTAGTACAACTTACCGAAAAAACGGTACCTACAACGGGCTGCTTGTTGAAATTAATAGACAAAGCTATAGACAAAGAAGATAAAAAGGATGTGGAGGAATTCTATTGGTGGAAGCGGTTGGTTGTAATGGACAAAGGAGCTAAGAAATAGACTAACTAAAGGCAACCAACTAGAGACCCGACAGTTGTTAGTCCATCATTTCCCCCTCAGTCTGTAAGAACCACCAGTTTCAACCAATAGGATCCCGCCCATACTCCCTATGGCTTCTTTGTCTAGCGCTTTGTCTATCAATTTCAATGATCAGTCTGCAGGGGTGCCATGATTTCTTCAGCTTCAAAATCCTTGACTTTTTCCTGATTATTTTTGTTTATTCCTGACTCCAAAATTCTCTAGATTCCTGGCTTCTCCTAACCTTCGAATAAAATTTTCACTTTTTTTGTATTACGCTGTCTTCCGCTGAATTTCGGACAAAATTTCTTTGTTCAGAGATCAAATTATGGAAAAATGTTCAGTAACTGGTTGAAAGATGGCAGAAGCTCACCCCAACAGTCATCAAAAATAATTAGGCGGATTGAATGCTCAACACGTTGCCCATCAATCATCATTAGACAAAGGGTAAGCTATGTCGTCTAAACGTTATTTTCAACTCGCCCAAATGCGTTGCTTTGATTTGGAGAGCAGGGCCTCCAGAAATTATCGTGTCTTGTTCCAATTTAAACAGTTGAACATACCCATAAGTCTAGTTCTGCGCTGAGTATTCATTGTGTAAATGCATTACTAAAATTACATGAAGTGATTTATAACCCCTCAAACACGGAAAATTTCGATTCGAACTCATCGACGCAACTTCCTATCTTGAAGTGCATACAAAGAGGTTTTATATCCGATTACATTGGAGCCATCGAACAGTATTATGCATCGGAAATTTACGATGATAATAAATGAGTCCCACATTTTCAAGGCGCCTAGGAATTGCGAATACCAACGAAAATCGGAGGCATAAAAGAGTACTTGCATTGCTCAAGACTTCCAAGGTTTGCTCGGCAATAGTAAATCCGAGTTTGCGCCGGAGCATAAAAAGCACAATTACACTCCTGAATGCTGTTTAAATGCTATTCATGTGGCGCCGTTGACAAGTTGAACGTTCAGATCAGATTTCTATGAAAGAAAGCTCCGGGCCACCGAACCACCTAGCAACGTTGTGCCGCAGAAGTGCTGGCTGATGCAACTCACCAAGAATCATCGAATTACAGGAGCATCAGCCCAGCTTTGCAAAATCGAGGCACGGGGTGCCAGTTCTAACGCTTTCCGAGCAGTGGCGTGGCGTACTTTGCGATATATCGATTGTTATTCCATTTAAACCTATGGAAAAGGATTGATAAACAGGGTGTTCGCAGCGAACACCTTAATAATCGATTCTGTACCAAAGGTTTAAATGGCATAACAATCGATATATCGCAAAGCACGCCACGCCACTGTTTCCGAGAACATCGGTAACTTCAAAACTGAGGTTTGCAGCATATGGACTTGAATCGATATTAAAAGTCTCTGAAGAATTAGAGGGAAAATATTTAAAAGTTCCTCGAAAAATTGTGCTTAATCTAAAAAGTGTATGTCAGCCAACCTGAGAAATCTAAATTTCCAAAATGATTTATAATTATTGCAATAGGTACGACCCGTTGTTTGTTGAGCACGTATTTGAATTAGCTTTTGCAAGAATTTACTCGTTTTGCGGAGGGGCGCTTCTTTATGTACACTCTTGGCCATCTTGCGGGCTGATTGTTTAAATTGATAGATATAGTGCTGGACAAGGAAGACTTAGGGAGTATGGAGCGATCCTATTGGTTGAACTGGTAGGTTCTTATAGACAAAGAGAGCAAATGATGGAGTAACTATAGGATCTCTCGCGGGTTGCCGTTAGTTGGTCTATTATCTACCTTCTTTGTCCATTGCAACCACCCGCTTCCACCAATAGGATCCCTCCAAATCCCTTTGGTCCTCTTTGTCTAGAGCTTCGTGTATCGATTTCAACAATCAGCCCGTTAGTTTGTCATTGGAATCTGAAGAATGGCAGCGGCATTTTGCTAGTATTTTTCATAGTAGAAAGTCGGTCGCCTAAAGAGCTCTATCTTTCTATATGTATGTCCATCCTCTCCCCATACAGGTATTCTACGTACGGCGTTCTTCCTTCGCACGGCGGGATGAAACCCTCTAAATCCGGAAGTCTGGCAACACTGTCCGGTGCGAACGGAAACCGGCGAGAAAAGCTCGACCGAAAGCGAAGCGGGTAGCAAAAGAGGATTTAGAGATTGCAGAGAAAGGGAGAGCAGAAGACAGAGACCTAGAACTGGACGAGAAAGGTAGGAGGAATTTGATTTTGGAGCAAGAGGATGAATCTGGACGTCCAGTCGTCCAGTCCGCGCACCCCTCTCAAGTCGGGCGAGAATCCGGTCGGACGCGGAAGGAAATATACGAATTAATTGAGCGATCTGGCGGCCCTGGAGCGGCGGCTGTCGCAGAATGACGCGACTTTCCGCGGAGTGGGTGAGGGGGGAGGGGGATTCAGGATTCTGGCTCTGTCATACGGACTGATTTATGGACGGAAAACGGAGACATGCCCAGCGTTGCCGACCGAGCAAAACAAAAGGATTTTCCCTGGCGAGCAGCAGGAATGTCGATGCTGATGGTTAAAATAATGCTAGTGATGCCTGAATAGACTTGCGCTAGAGAAGGACCGATTCGAATCCGCTGATGTAACCGTATACCTTCCTGACTTTGGTACCACCGGAAAATATGGTTGAAAAACCCGAGTTTTTTTGTGTGCATTTTGATTGGATCGAATTTCCCCGGAGGGAAATTGTTTGGTTTTGGTTTTTACACACGTGGTCTCTATGTTGAGGAATTTTTTTAAAATTTTTCACACAGAAAATTTTTCGTATCAGAATGGTAATTTCAATCAACTGTAGAAGGTTGCATACGCAGCCCCTGGAAAATCGTTGGAATCCCATGGAAAATTAAATTTCACTTTTCACTTCATGAAAATGATATTTTATTTTGCATCCCTGCAGATATCGCACGCAGTTTGGACTATAGGAGGCCACCACAGGCCGTAAACCGATTACGGGTTTCAGGAATTCACACGGCCCTTCTCAAAGCGCTGAAAAAAAAAAGTCTCTCGGATTCAGAGTCCAGAGTGTTAAAAAAATTGGCAAGAGAAAATATTCTTGATTCAATCGGACTTATGCTTGAATCAAAAGGAAACCTGCTTAAATTAAGAGGCTTGGCTCTCGATTCAAGCAAAAATCCGATTGAACGAAGGGAATTTCTTCTTGTCAAATTTTTCAAGAGTCTGGACTTTGGATCCATGAGACTTCTTGTTCCAGTGAGCGTCCGGATTTGCTGAAGAGCTTTCATTCGCAAGAACTGTTTCCCCCAAAACTTAGAATAAAAGGAGTACAAGGCGGTAAAATGGCAACACTGCTGGAAAGCCGCATCTAAAGCTTGGTGACAGGAGTCACTGTTAACCTCTCGTAGCTTTCCTTCGGCTCCCTTCGCGCCCCCTCCGTTACCCTCGACCGAGACAGCCCCCCGCGTGGTGTTTTTCGAAGTTCTTTTTAGTTGCTCCTTCGCAGCGTTAATTAAGCCCAAAGGATCCCTTGCGACTTACCCACACTTTTCCGCACCAACCCCCCCCCCCNACGCACACACACACACGCACACAAATCCTCCTTGTGCCAACTTGGTGCTCGTTAGTGCCCCATTTCGATTCGGTCAAGCAAAGATAACCGTCCATAGTGAGCATCCTGCGGAACGATTTTTGAATCATTATCGAATGACCTTGATCGATCAATCCCTATCATGGCAACTATATTAATCGATAAAACCACGACTATACATCGTATTCGATACGTCAAACAGATGAGGGGATTGTATCGATATCGATTGGTTCGACATATAAACATAGCCCCAAAAGTCAATTGACTAATCTGAGGGAACGCGTTTCTAGTGATAGATTTTTTATTCTTATGAATATTAAAAGGCGATGAAAAATGAAATTGTTAGACGTTTTCTCTATTTTCATTTTTCCTACATAAATCCTAAAATTTTCGTTTGAGGTTACGTTCGATTGTTTTGAACCAAACGATACATCGAACCATTATCGAACACGATCTATACCTGCAATAATTATTGTCATCGACCGACTTTCAAGATGTGAAATTAGAATTGTGCTCACCTCTGTCGGTGGCGATGACAGGAAATTCGTAAGTGCTCCGCATTTCGTAATCCAGGGGTTTCGAGATGCATATCTCTCCGGTCATGGACTTCACTTCGAACTGATTCGTTTTTGAGGAGCCCTCGCCCAGGGTGTAATTGACCATCGAGTTGATACCGCAGTCTGGGTCCGTTGCTGAAACCTGCAACACAAGAAAAAGGCAACTATTTAGTAAGGACAACTTGCTTACGACACTCCAAGTTCCTCGAAGATTGTGCTAAAAGCCAACAAAGTTTTAAATATAAACCTCCGCAGCGCACATGGACCCTCGGTGGCAGGTAGATACACCGACGTTTTCACGCAAAGGAGATTCATCGGGGAAGAAAGTTTTTTTTTTTTTTTTTTTTTTTTTTTTTCCAAAAAAAAAAAGTAAAAAAAAAGAAATTCAGAAAATTCCATGGAAAGACATGTTGATTTTGAAAACTCTCTTTGTAGATAGATCGGTTTTGTGTATGATCCAACAGATACCTACTTGCAGCCAAAATTTATCTGCTTACTTGATCATACGTGTCCCAGACGATCCTGGAAAGATATTCAACACTGCCGGGAGTCACAGAACCACTATAATTCTTTTTTATCAGTGCAGTTCAACAAGTTTATGCAAACTTTGAAAGTAAAAGTAACAGCCTCTGTCCGAGGGGAAAAAATTACAAAAAAAAACATCCAGCGTGACAAAAAATGACACATATTTATTGTTTTAGTGATCGCTCGAATGATATTGTTCCGAAAGACGTGCCGACAAGGCGTTAGAGATGGTGGCGCCAGGGCTGACGGGCAAAAAATAAAATATTCAAATTCGAACATCCCGAGGGGGATTCTCTGGCCCCGAAGATAAGATAAGACGGAGACTGGGGAGAGGAGGGGGGGGGGTAAGGGGCATAGAAGGTCGATGTCACGTCGGGCAAGTGATAAATGGAGAGACGTAATGCTCCTTTGCTGCGTGCGAGTAATTAAGTTAAAACTGGATTCGCACGAACGACTCGCCAATGTCACCGCTCCGAAAAAAAGCATTATGAGAGCAAGAAAGTTCGAGAGGTGGATGCGTGCACGAAGAGAAATTCCTCTTCTCACAGCTTCGTGAGTTTTGGCCCTCCAAAGTCTTCAACTTTCATTGCCGAAAAGTTCAGGTAAAGACGCTGAAGTTTAGGCGTAAACCTAGTTGGTACCCAGTAAGCATAGTTAGTAACATAATTTCCATATTTTGCTGAATGATGGTAAAACTACGAAATTTTTAGTGGAGCAACCGAATCCTCCGGTATTGAGTGCTGAAATCTTAGAGAGGCCATACCTCACGAAGTTCAGCGTAGTTCGTTTCTGAAAATTCAAAACCCGCGCAGATTTTCGACATAATCAATGCGATGTATCGCACGCCCGTTCGACCATGCCAGAAACCGTGATGAATCACAGCAGAATCGATTACTGGCTTGGGCACAAAATTCCCCTTCAAAAAAGTAAGTATGTAACCCCACGACAGCTGAGTTCGAATAGTTATCGCTCGGTTAGCCCGCTTAAAGCTGGAGACAAGTTGAGTCATCCCGTAACATGTTTTAAGACGCACGTCAAGACGAGTTCGGTACTCAGTTCCTAAAAGAGGCATTCGAACATGTATTAGTCCGAGAGCCAGACGACTTTGAGTGACAAACTCGGGATACATGTTTTGACCCCCTAAATCGATAGCCTTGCATGCACTGAAACGGAAAATTTTTGTCTGCCGCCTTCTAGCCTGTGCCATCACCCTCATCTAGGCCCTCAAAGTGGTCCAAAAAACACCATCTGGTGACAAACTCCTGACGCTCGGCAGACAAGTCTATTATTAAAGATCATACCCAGGGTGACTAGAAAAACTTTGTCTGCCGCCTTCTAGCCTGTGCCATCACCCTCATCTAGGCCCTCAAAGTGGTCCAAAAAACACCATCTGGTGACAAACTCCTGACGC